GGGGGGGGGAAGGAGTGAGCGGTGGCAAGCAGGAGGGGAGGACAGCGTGCAGAGGAAGGGGAGAGCAGGGGGAAAAGCCCCCCCCCTTCCGGGAGAAACGGATTCGCAAAGCCAGAAATGTCTGCTATTTTGGCATCCAGGAAACAATTTCACCATTCACACTAATACAGGTGTTCATGTGTAGTGTATCAATGTGTTATTAAATAATAACTGAATAAAATAATATTAAATAAATAATTAAAAACAACATCCATGTTTTGATTGTTTTTTATTTGGACCTCAAGTGTGTAGTCGGCCCCCGAACTGCTGTTTGATAGTTAATGCGGCCCTCGGGCTGAAAAGTTTGGAGACCCCTGCTCTACCCCATGCTACATGGCCCTACTACCCACAAAGTCAAGGATGGAAGTAGAAAATGTCTCTTTGCTATAATAGCACAACGTCTTTGACAGGTGCATGTCCCTGGGCTCTCATGAATGAGACAATTAAAAATGATAAAGGGTCTATCTTCCATGCCGAGCACTCTGGTTGAATGAATAGATAAGCCACATTTTCATTCAAAATCATTAATGGCTCAGTTATTTCAATGCTAGTTCCCTTCAAAAATGTGTGGATTTTTAATCCTTTAATTTCATGTTATCCTAAACACCCCCTGTGCTTTCTTTTTATTTATCCGCCAGCTTTTGTTGTAACAGGTAAATGCTTTTTTGAACTTGCTTTTGTTGGAGAAAAGCTCATTGTTATCTCTATCTTTGCAGAGAGAGAATGGGGATGCAGACAGGTCTTTGCTAGTGAATGGCTGAGACAGGAAGGGGCTCTAGTGACTTCTCCATTCAGAAGCGGCCTTTGGATGAGACAGGCTGAGATTCTGGGATCAGCATGGAGGTCTGTGAGGAGAAGCAAGGTCTGTCTTCCTGTGACTGAAATGGCTTTGGTGATAACAGAAAAATTAATTACTAGAGAGATTACTGAAAGAAATATTCTTCAGATACAGCGGCTGTGCTGATTTGAGACATCTGTTAGTCTTCTGTTCTCTGAGCTGTGAATGCTAGAAACACCAGGCATTCATGTAGTAAACACAAATGTTTAGGTTTATTCAAACTGAGTTGAGTTATAGACTCATAGACTCATAGACTTTAAGGTCAGGACCATTAATGATCATCTAGTCTGACCCCCTGCACAGTGCAGGCCACAAAATCTCACCCACCCCTCCTAGAATAATCCTCTCACCTATATCTCAGATATTGAAGCCTTCAAATACTTTGAAGACCCCAAGATGCAGAGAATCCTCCAGCTGTGATCTGTACCCCATGCTACAGAGGAAGGCAAAAAACCTCCAGGGCCTCTGCCAATCTACCTTCCCGACCCCAAATATGGCGATCAGCTAAACCCTGAGCATGTGGGCAAGACCCATCAGCCAGACACCCAGAAAGTTCTCTATAGTATCTCCTATCATCCCTTCATTGACCTATTTCCCACTGATTTACCTATTTCCCACATTTACCAAGATCATGTTATCTCATCAAACCATCCCCTTCATAAACCCATCTAATTTAATCTTGAAACCAGATAGATCTTTTGCCCCCACTACTTCCCTTGGAAGGCCGTCTATCCAGCTATGTAGACACTCTTCTCAAACCCTTCGTAACCAATACCCCCAGCTATCTCCGAGACACTACTGACTTCCTAAGGAAACTACAAAACATCGATAACCTCCCCAATAATACCATCCTTGCCACCATGGATGTAGAAGCTCTATATACCAACATCCCACATGAAGACGGATTACAAGCAATTAGAAACACTATCCCAGAGGACACTACTGCCAACCTGATAGCAGACCTATGTAACTTTGTTCTCACCCACAATTATTTCCGGTTTGAGAACAACTTATACCTCCAGATCAGCGGCACAGCCATGGG